GAATTCTATACTGCTTCATTGTAACTAACTTAGCTGCAGCTGGAATCTGCACAGGAGGAATTTTTACTCTACTGACCGTAACAGGTCTGGCTCCAATACAGAGTTTAATTCCAAACTGATACCGACCATCAGAAAGATTTAAAGTTAGTATTCTCAAAATGTCTAAAGCAATTATATATTCAAAAACAGGGACAATCATTACCAAGTACAATCACTTCGGGAGGTTTCCTATTTTCATTTCTATTTGTGTTTGTACAGCTTTAACTTATTTTCTTCCCAAACCTGTAATAATTACAGGTTGTCCTTTAGATTTTCTGGGATTCCCATATATTAAGGAGGCCTATGCTCCAGCGTCAGCTAGGGCATTTACAGTTTGTGGGGACTGTTTGTTCTAAAAAAAAAAAAAAAAATTAAGATCTACGTGGGGCCGTTGGTCCTTCCGCACCCATTGCCCTGGAGCTTGGCCGTTAATTCCTTTGTGCTGATCGTACGTTAACTCATCTCCCTTGCCTCCCGCAAAGTGTACAAGTCAGAGAACAGTGCCCGATCCTCTTTCACCCCTGGAACCAGTGATCCACTCAAGGGGGGCCCTCTGTGGGAAGATGGAGGGTCCTGCCAAGGTTTGAGAGGTGGCACTATAGGCTGAGTTGTCTCTGTCTTCTCAACCTGTGAATTTTGTACTTTTTTGTTGGTTTTATTCAGCCTTCTCTGTTTATATATCTTCCACAGTTCTGAGGTCGAAATTCCATCCATTTTATCAAGGGGCATACCATCCCTTAGTAAAGCAGTAGACATTTCCTTATGAGAAATCCTGTTTTCACTGCCTTTAGGGCTGTCTTGAGTATCTCAATTCCCTGCATTCCCTTGGGGGCCCCACTTCCCCAGGTCATGTTACTATTGCACTTCTTCAATTATTTCATTGAGGGGATTCCCCATTTCATTAATGAGGAGGGTCATAATTACATTTTTATATATCAGTGGAGTGGTTTTAATCACTTTGTTTCTCATAGTGACTGACAAAGGATGCCACATCATAAGGTCAGTGTCTCCTCCAAAAATAGCTGCTTTCATTCCTTCCTCTTTTATTCTCTGTATACAATCTCGCCAAGTATACCACTGACGGTCAGATGCCAGCCAATCATTTTCTGTAGGATATTTGGTATTACATCCCAGAGCAGCCAATGCTAACAAATTAATATTCTGAGTATTGTTTCAAAATGCATCTTGCACAAAAGAATCTGAACTTAAAATCAAAAACTTTTTAGAATCTCCTTCATCTAGGATTATCCCTGCAGCCCCCTGATCATGCAAGCGCACCATCCAAGAGAGCAGGGATTCCCCTGGTCTCTGTTTAAATCTCTCAATTATATCATTTACTTCATGCTGAGTAAAATCTTCTATTATATGCTTTCTCATATGTTGCCCATCATTAGTAGGATCTGCCTCTATCCTTTGCCTCAACACAGGTTTCACATTTATGAGTTCATCTGTGGAACCAGCCTCATCAGAATCCGTAGAATCCCAAATATCACCATCCCATTTCTCTGGGTCCCGCTGCACACCTGCATCCACAATCACCACATGCACTTTCTTACAATTCACTTGCCCTCTCCTTTTCCTGTACTTATACTGTGCTACTCATACCACAGCTTTCGTCACCACTGTCTGATAAGTATCCAGCTTATCAGCAAGCAACTTCTTATTCTGGCATTGCAACATCCTATCTGACTAAATCACACATCTGTCACTCCACCTGGCAGCGCTCTAACAGCAGCCTCTCTTTACTTTGGTGTTGTTTTCTATAATACAGTTAACAAAACACACCCTTGTTTACTTGAATCTGTAGTTTCTTTTCCTTTTTCAATACGTAGCTTTTTCACACAATTTAAAACATCTAATGGTTTGGCTTCCTTCAGCCAGTTCTCCCATTGTTCGCATGGTCCTCCTATCTGAGCCCATTCCTGGGCCAGCAAAGTATAGGGAGGATCTTCCCAACTGGGAACATTGGGTGGACTTGACAAATTACCTTGGAATTTAAATAATGGCATTTTTCGTCATATCCCACTTTGACACTAATTT